TTTCTTTTTGTTGCCCTTTCTAATATTCAGACCCATCATCGGAGTAAGATTTGGTACAGTAGGTGGCGTTTTTGGATGTGTTAGGACTGGGAATGTTGAGATTTGTGAGTACTGTTTGTTTTGTGTGACTTCTGAGATTATATTGAGAATTGTGAGTTCTGCTTGTTTTTAGTGTTTGATTTGTTTATGATACTTTGTTCCACCGGCTTGTTTGACCTTTGTTGCCTGCAGACATTGATTTTGGATTGTCCTTCAAATATGGTTGCCTGTTTTTGTAAATAGATTGTAAATAGTGTATATATTGGGATAGTAAGGAGTTTGATGCCATTTTCTTTGTAAAACCTTTTGACCTCTGTTTTTGTGTTACGTAGTTAGGCTAGTGAGTTGTACTTTCTTTTCTTTCATTTTTAATCAGGTAAGTTAGAGATTTAATGAAAGAGCATTTGTGGAGACGCCGATGCGGTAAACAACAACATAGGAAACATGAAGGAGGAAAGTCACTGTTAAAAATTGTCCCGTTAAAAAACAGTAAAATACTGGCAGCTGCAGTTGCCAGCAATGTACTGTTATTTTACAGTATGTTGCTGTAAAAATACATGGACTACATTGATTTACACAATACTCAAGTGAACTCATTTTGCTCACTGAAAGCAACTGCCTCAACTTGGTCAACTGCTGAATGAGTTTATGAAGTAATGTGCTATATATGCTTAGAAGCATACTTATAATGATAACTTATTTTAGTTAATTAGAAAAGTTCGGTTTAACTCTAATGTCTTATTTTTCACAACAGCACACATACATGTAAATCTGGAATCACCAGAGAGATTCTGACTGCATCAGCAACTAAACAGCCGCTATCTTTAAATAGAGAAACATGCAGAATAACATCAGCAGCTTATTGTTCATCTTTAACTCATACACTGGCTCTACTCTCCTCCACAACGGTGACAGACAGAAGAAATTAGCTTCAGGTTTTACAGTAAAATACTGTTTTTTCCTTGATTTAACAGTAATCTACTGGCAGCTGTGGTTGCCAGCAATATACTGTTTTTTTACAGTCTACTTCCGTTGTGTAAATTAACAGTATATTACTGTTAAAATACATTTTTACACTGTGTTTTTACCTCTCACACCTTTAACTCTTTAAACCCCAGAGCATATACTTCAGTTTTAATTGAAGTGTCCACACTACTGAGTGTTCAAGAAACATGAAGCAAAGCTGAAGTAAATTCATTAATTAACTGACTAATTAAATGATAATTGAGGATTAACAATGAACAAATGAAGAAATACTGAAGGGAAAAAACAAGAACAGAACATACAAAACTTTAGTCACAGCTTTATAATGAAATAACCTGAAGAACAACAAATGATTAAATCATTTAAATGATCAGCGGATGATTAAACAACTCTACAAACATCATCACCAGCTACACTTATTACTTAATACATGTATTTTTGTATAACATCTACTAAAGTTCTTCTTGAGAAAAAGTTAAAGTTTTACGTCACCATCATGGAGAACAGAGTTTGCTTTAGTTGGGCTCTTAGCCCTGTCATATTTAACATTTATATAACGTAGCTGCTGCAATTGTTAAGAACTTTGTTTGAAAAGCTCCTTTGTTGTGGCAAGCCAGCCAAAAACCTAAATAAGATCTGGTGATGTTCATGTTGCTATTAAATGGCAGTCTGTTCTCATTTCGTATATTAAAATATACTGCTCCTATTCAATGTTAAATCTATTGTTTTACATTATATGTATGTATGTATGTATGTGTATATATATATATATATATATATATGGCAATGATTTCTGGAAGTTTTTAAGAATATCTTGGACAATAACACTGCTCTATGGTGTAAATCGCACTCAAAGAGACATCAATAATCAGCATATGAACCTCAATAATGGTGAAAACAAATTTAACAAAATTAACAGTTTAACTCACAAACAGGCAACTGAAAGTCTAAACATAAACAACAGCAGAATCAAACACAAATAAAGAAAACTGTTAGACCATTATACAACATTTATTTATACCGCAATGCATGCTGGGATATTTGTACAGTGCCACTCCCAGCATGCATTGCAGCATGAAACATTTGAGATGTTACCATTGTTGAGATACAAGGTCAGATTCATGAGGTCTGAGTGTGTATTTGTCATAACTGAACTGTTTTTGTATGTTATTTCTTAACTGTTAAGTAATTACGGAGGTATCTTTTCTGTTTCCACTTCTCATTAATTAAATTAATACCTGCAACTAAGCATAAAATCTATTGCATGAGGCCCTTCTTCCAGATTTAAACCAAAACATTTATCAGAACTAATTTCAGATAAATAGATTTCTCTATTTATTGACTTCCCAACTTTATTGCTATAGTACAAACATTTTGTAAACTCTGTATTCAAGCAGATGGAAAGTCTTCTTAAAAGAGTTCAAGGGTGAAGAGCCCAACTAAATCAGCCCCTCACTCCATTACGGTGACACAAAAAACACCTTAATTTCTGTTGGATCTCAATGAGAATAGTATGGAAGTCAAATCAGTCAGTAATAAGTGTGTGTCTGCTGTTGTTTGTGGAGTTGTTTAATGATCCTCTGCTGAGACTGAAGCTGTTTTATTTTATTTTATTTTATTTAATGTTGTAACTCAAGTCACTGTTTGTGTTTCTTGTTTATTTTCTTCAGTAATTGTAATTATTAACAGCAGGTGTTCATCAGCAGGTGTCTGAATTCACTCATTAGTGTTCATTAACTCTGTCAGGTGAACTATATTAGTTAACTAGTGTATGAAATAGTGAACAAGGACACAAAGCGTGATTTCAAACACAGACTTCAAAACATCGAATCTGAACTCTGTTAGCTCACAGTTTTCTGCAGTTGGTTTCTTTCTCGAAAACAAAAATGTTACCCAGAAAGCACTGTTTTTAACAGAATATTACTGTTTTAGTGAAAAAACATTATTTTACTGTAGAATCTGACCGTTTTTTAACAGCAATTTTTTACAGTGTAGTCAATGGCCAAAATTTGCTCCCACTAGACCTGAGATATCTCTCATACCCGCAAACTCCTCTGGATGGTGGAGAACACCATAAATAAACCATAGGCGCAAGTTGCAATAATGGCCCTTTCCCTCGTTTTCCGCCTCAAAATCAAATTAAAGTTGGGTGAACTTCGCATATTTCGCAGAGCTAAAAGCAAGACAATTTCTACCATCGTGGCTAGTGTGGTACAGATGCTAGAACCTGCCTTTACGCATGCAAGACATTGTAAATTTTATGGCAGTTGTAAACACATGAATTGGATATGAGTCAAAATTAAAAGAACGTGTAAACATACAGGCAAATATATAGATTCAGGTATAGGCAACAAATCAGAATGGTGCATCAAGACCTAAAGGTGGACAACGCAGTAGGTAATACTGTCGCCTCACAGCAAGAAGGTCGCTGGTTCAAGCCTCGGCTGAGTCAGTTGGCAATTCTGTGTGAAGTTTGGATATTCTCCCAGCCTTCGCGTACAGGTAAATTGGGTAGGCTAAATTTTCCATAGTGTATGAATGTGAATGAGTGTGTATGGATGTTTCCCAGAGATGGGTTGCGGCTGGAAGAGCATCCGCTGGGTAAAACATGTGCTGAATAAGTTGGTGATTCATTCCACTGTGACCCCAGATTAATAAAGGAACTAAGCCGAAAAAAAATGAATGAATGAATGAATGAATGACCTGACATTGTAAATGAGGCCTTAAATGTAATTGAATTTAATAGATAACTTTAGTTCACTGAGTTGTACCGAACATAACTAAACAAAATTGACATCCCTGATTGTCAATGTATAATTTGCACCCTGTCCAAAACCCAACCATCAGGGAATGAACAAAATGTACTGAAACATACAAATGCAATAGGTTACCCAATGTATTGTCCTGTATATTTAGGAAATATTCTAGTCTAAAATTAAAAGGTTACCACAAAGAGCATATAAAAAATAGTATTCAAAAAGCTTAAAAAAATAAACAAACAAAAAAAGTTTTGAACTGCAATTATATTTTATTTTAATGATAAATAGTTTACCCTTAAAAGGGTCATATTAGTACCCCTAAATAAAATGTGGTATACTCTACCTACTGTGTAATACCTTAGAATAGTAATACATACCATAAAGGTATAATGCAATTTTTTCGTAAGTATGCTGTCTTGATAGTAAGGTGTTTTATCTATGAAATGGTTCAAGAAGTCTATCTAGATTGAACCAATAATATAAAAAATATAAATGTAAAGACAAAAAACAGGCGTGTTTCTGCAACAAAACCTTAGGCTGCTCTTTCATTTGCATTTAAACCCAAACAATATTCAATCTGACGCTCTGAATCGAATATGCGACAAAGAAAAAAAGATCTTTACAGCAGTTTAAAATGTTTAAATATAAGTACATGAAAAGAATCTGTGACTTTAGACTCTAAAGAAAAAAGTTCACAAAGCTATGGAAGTCTCACATACTTCACATCAAACACACACGCACTTATTCCTCTTCAATGACTAACGGACATCTATTTGTGCGTCTGATGAGGTGATGCGGAGAAGTGTTTCACAAGCCTAACTGCTTCAAGCTGCCCTTTGAGGGGGTCTGCATCACAGATCTGCTCTGTCCTTAGTTGCACAGAGCTCTCATATTCCTCTCTCCAGAGCACCTCTGACAGATCAGAGGTGTGTCCGTATCTGGGAAAAATCCATTTGCACTCTGAGCGCGGGACAGATACTCAACTCGCCATGGAGTTTAGAAACATTTCCATTCCTGAGCCAAACGCTCCGCTATTACAGACAATGAGCAGCATAAACAAATGAATGGTTTTCTAGGGACACACTCAGTTGTCCCATTTAGAGCTGCTGTCTACAGAGCCGGTGCGAGTACATTACACTGATGAAAGGAAGAAAATGGGCCGTGAAATGAAAAAGGCACTGTAAGGATAAAAGTGTGAGTGTGAGAGAAAAACTGTACCTTGGCAAGCGACTCCCCGCTCCTCGTAACCTATGTTGCACAGGCATTTCCCAATAGGCACCAGCCACTCTCCCTCGGTACTGCAGTACATTTTTGGTGGATCCTCCTCCTTGGAATTGTTGACGCAGGAGCCCCTAACTTCCACCAGTGACTGAGAGTCTGTAGGAACCGTGTCAGGAAACATAGCCAGGTTCCTCACTGTGAAAGGGCATTTTTTAAAGTACACCCGCACCGACACTAGGGCCACACAGGCTCCCACGTCCTGGAAAGCCAGGTAGAAGCCCTTCTTAGTCATGGGCCCCACCTCACGGACCTCTGTGTTTAACTTCAGAATGCGGTCACCTAGGTCCATCTGAGTAAAGCTCTCATCTGCGGCGATTGTATCTATTTTGGAAAACTGGTGCTCACGGAACTTATTTCCCTGGTCTTCTTCTGTCTCCAGATAGTGTAAGTTGAATGTTTCTTTGCAGGTCAGGACCATGGGAATACTATTGCAATCTCTTAGGGTAAACTTGAGCTCCACATAGATCTTCTGTGCAGAATTACGAGGAATCCAGTTGGTCCTCAACCAATTGTTCTGGCTGTATTCCATCACGTTGCACACCTGGAAAGTCCGGATGGGTGTGTAGTGCTCATCCACGCCGCTAATTTCCTCCCACTGCAAAAAGAGAAAGAAGTTAATCAAATCTATTCTGGGGAAAGCCAACGGCTACTGTACTCCTACATTTCAACAGAACCGAGACGAATGTAAAACACCTGAACTGCAGGGCTATTTATTTCCCAAACCCATTTGGAATAATGAATAGTTTCGAATTAATATCTCCCCTGTTTGTATAATTAATGTCGGACATAATCAACGAGCCTTCCGGAGTTCTGAGTTCTCTCCTTTGTAAAGCGAGCCTGACAAATAATTTCTTTTTGTCACTAGGGGTGTCTGAAGTCACAACAGTGCTAGAAGTCTTGAGGTTTAACATACACGGAGCAGAATAAATGATGAACAGAGAGGAACTGTTTTCTGTTACAATAATGGAGTAGTATGTGGCTCTCTGTCAGGCTGACATTTATAAAAGCCCTTGGTTGAGTGAGACAGAGCCTCTGGAGTGGCTGTGTGCTGTTGGTTACCCGTCACAACAGAAGTGTGCCCTCAGACTGAAGAATTGCCTGTTTGTGTTTTAACTGTGAAATGTGCTTAATGAAACACCCCCAAATAGTTTCTTTTTGTTAGGTTGTTAAGAACAATAGAATTTATGTATTGTTTCACATCACATTGTTCATAGACACGCAGCCTTTGGTGAAATAATCAGACTGAAATCATTGACAGCTAGAATTCCATCACACATTTTAATGCAATTTTTAAAAAATTGCATAATTGGTGCTAGAAGGGAAAAAGCATGCTTGCACGCATACACCCATATACACACACTCATACACACACAAAGAGACACAACTGCACTTGTTTGAGGTTTGTGTTTGGTAAAAGGCCTGCAAAAAATACACTAGCATAAGTGATTTAATAACAATAAACGCTTGAAATTAAATTAAATTAAATTAAATTAAATTAAATTAAATTAAATTAAATTAAATTAAATTAAATTAAATTAAATTAAATTAAATTAAATTAAATTAAATTAAATTTAAAAAAGTTGTGCTATAATGTGTTGTTTGTATGTTTGTTTGTTTGTTTTTATTTTACCATATAAATCCAAGTGAAAATCTATAATAAAAAAAAGTCAAAAGGGATTGAGCTGTACCAGTATTTGGTTAAAAGAAACTTGTGAATTGTTTAAAGAAGTTTACACAGATTAAATAACTGAATAAACCTAAAACTTGAAAAGTCAAAGCAGAAAATTAAGAGAAAATAAACAAACAAACAAACAAACAAACAAAAAAGGGCAATTTGCATTTGCATCTTATTTCCAGAATACCAGAGTTCATTTTAAATAGATTTTTTATTTTTATTTATTTATTTATTTATTTATTTTTTCAGTTGGGTTACTATGGTAGTCTCAATCAGTTATTTAATAATTAAACAAGCAAAAGGCTGATTTTTTGCCATACAGCATTCTGTGGGCCTGGTGATAAGACAGGATCTAAATAAGGTGTTATGATTATTGAACAATGGAGCAATGCTTCAGATATTGTGTTTATGTGGTTGTAAAGTGAACAAATATGATGCAAAGTGAAATAAATCAATAGACTTTCAGCTGGTCATTTATCTCAAAGTTAGTAACTGAGCCAACTTTTCTTCACCAGCATAGCTGATGCTCCAAATCAAGTCCAGGTGCCTGGACTGTGTCGCATTATCAAACTGTATAGCCAATGACTGTTCTGAAACCGTGACTGCCAAAATAAATTACACGTCCTATACAATGTGTAAATCACACACACTCGAGAATAGTGTATTACATGGACTGTCTGCTGCCATCAATGACATCATCACAAGCACAGGCCAATCTTCTTCAAATAACTCTACTTTATAATGCATAGCACTCGGTTATAGAAAAGGAAAAAACTGTAAAACTCTATAAAAGCCCTGTCTGGATATCTCTTTTTACGGACAGCAGTTTTTAAAGGCCGCATTGATTTCTCAGCGAGTGCCAGGCTGCGATTGGACACCAATCTGTATTTCCTTCTCCACAGCGGGAGACGTCAGGCCTGCGCTTTGCAACTTAACACTCGATGGGTAGACTGAAGATGACTTTAGGTTTCTCCGAATATCACTTTACAATAGTAATCCCCCTCCAGCAAGGAAAGCAGCAGAGAAACGAGGAAATCAGCAGTTGGTACATTTGGCAGGGCAGCAGCCCAACTCCCTCCTGTGTCCACTCAGTATGTACACAGGCCAACTGGTACTTTAAACTAATAGATTCCCTGGCACTTGTGGATAAAGTGCAGCAGAGCTTATGTTTCAGACAGATATGTAATAAAATTATAATCCTCCTCTCACTCGTATTACAATGGAATTGCATTAGTTAGTGAAGACTGACATATATTGCTGGCTTTTGCTGGTATCATATGGTCATTTCCTGTATAGGTGCACAAGGCTTTTCCTTGTCAAATCTAGCTTTCTTCATTATAATGAACAAAAGTAATGCAAATACTGTTTGCAAGGACTCCCTTAGAGTTTAAGCGCTTGGATGTTGGAGAAGGCATAGAGGAAAAGACATACTTATGGGTACACAGGAGATCCTCCAGAGAAAATGAGCATCTGGATGGGATGGCTGCTCACATTTGTTCTAATAGATCATCATGTTCTCAGGGCTTGATATCTCTACAATTAAGCATTGTTTTAAGCTTGAGGGATGTGACAGAGAAGTGTGCGATCAATAGCTAAAGATAACCCAATGCTGGATGTTAATAGGCATTTATTTATTTATTTATTTTTCTAGTTTGGAAACCATTTTCAATTAATTTAACATTAATTAAAGTGATAGTTCAACAAAAAATTAGTTAGCGCTTACTATTTTTTTCACCCTTAAGCGCTTTCAAACATTTATACGATTCTTTTTTCTGTTGAACTCAAAAGCTAAAAACCTGTAACCATTGATTGACATAATAACTACTATGCCACCAAAAACAAATATTATTGAATTCAAAAGGTTTACAAGTTTCTTTAAAATTTATATGCTTGAATTCAATGGAAGAAAGATACTCAAACAGGCTTGAAACAAATAAAGAGAGAGTAAATTATGACAATTTTTTTTTTCACTACACACTTTCTGAAAAAAAGGTACACGGTGGTACAAGTAATGTTCCTTAAGGAACAGTTTTGCACCTTTGTAAAAGTTGTACCTTTATGGTACAGAAAAGACTTCTTATGATACTGTTCTGCACCTTTTATGGTACAACGAAAATGAAGGTTCACAACTGTTCTCATAAAAAAGGTGCATTAGTGTTGGTCAATTCCTTTATTATATTTTTTTCAAATAAATATTCCTGGAAAGGAAAAGTGATTTTATGAATAAGTTCCATATAAAACATAAATCATCATTCAAAAGCATATGTTTAAAGAAACTTTAATTATTTTAATTATTAACTTCTATAAAACTGGTAAAACAAAAGTATAGGCATTGTAAACTAATTATTTAAGGCATTATTAATAAATGTTTGGTAAACGTTTTCTGATAAATACATTGTCATTATTAATATACGCACCTTTTGACATTTGCTTTCCACTACGTACGTGAGCTGGCAAAAGTCCTGCATATGCAAAGTGTTTATGCAGACATTTTTGTATTATAAAACTAATCAAACATTGTGCATATCTGGTTACAATACTTTTGCATAATTATATTTCTATTTTAAAATTAAGTAAATGAAATTTACTTTTAAGTAATTACAAAGGTATTGTGTGAAAATCGGACAAAAAAGTTTTTTATTGTACATGGGAGAATGTATTTCTGTAACATTTTTTTTTTGTGAAAAATGTTGTGAAATGTTAAGCAAAAAATAGATCTTTTGATTTATGTTAAAGTACTTTTTATTCTTTAATGTAATTGGAAAAGGTGCATTTATACAAAAATCTACTTTTTAAAAAACACAATTTAAAAATGTATTTGATGTTTTGTATTTGCTAAAATTAAATTGACACATTTTGGATATAACGAAATGCCTTAAAATAGGACTTGAAAGAACACATTTGACACTGATAGGGTACAGAGTGTCTTGTCACTGTAGTGGTACCTTCATGGATCATATTTGTACCTTTGATGATGGTACAATATTGTATTTGCAGGTTTTAAAAACCAAAGGTATAGTATGGTTTCCCATGGTACAAATCATTTTCTTAAAAGTACAAACTGCAATGGTACAAATTTGATTCTTTGTTTAAGGTACAATCCTGTTCCATAAAAAGGGACTGCCCCAGTGACAATGTGTTGTACCTTCTTTGATACAACATGTTGCCATTTTTTTGAGAGTGCAGTGTTAGGAAGCAACTTAACTAAATAAAACAAAATAGCACCAATTAAATTAAGTGCAGTTTCAAATGTAGACTTTTTAAAGTGCTTTCTAAAGTGTAGCTTTACCAGTAACAAGTTACTTAAGTTTGGAAGTTCATTTCATTTTATAAATTTATGCAAACTATACAAATAAAATAAAATAAAATAAAATAAAAAACAAGCACAGTTGAAGTCAGAATTATTAGCCCCCCTTTGAATTTTTTTTTCTTTTTTATATATGTCCTAAATGATGTTTAACAGATCAAGGAAAGTTTCACAGTATGTCTGATAATGTTTTTTATTCTGAAGAAAGTCTTATTATTAAATTATTAGCCCCTTTATTAGCCCCTTAAAGCTACATTTTTTTTTTTTTTTTGGTAGTCTACAGAACAAACCGATGTTAAATAATAACTTACCTAATTACCCTAACCTGCCAAGTTAACCTAATTAGCCTAATTAAGCCTTTAATTGTCACTTTAAGCTGTATAGAAATGTCTTGAAAAATACGCAGTAACATATTATGTACTGTCATCATGGCAAAAAATCAGTTATTACATGGCATAAATCAGTTATTAGAAATGAGTTATTAAAATTATTACGTTTAGAAATGTGTTGAAAAAAATTGTCTCTTAATTATACATAAATTGGCAAAATAAATAAACAAGGGGGCTAATAATTCAGGGGGGCTAATAATTCTGAACATAACTGTATATTAAAT